CAACCACCCAGCACATCATTGTTTTCGTGCGCACCGTTTCTGCCGGTGATGCCTTTCGACACCTTGACGTAAACAAATCACCAGTGTTCTTTGTTTGACATATCTTTGCTTCTCGTCCTGCCGTTCCAGACAAGTTCATCATAGCCATCGCCTCTGCTCGCGCTACACTGCACGGGATCGTTCGTGAGGCCCTCGTCCCGCTTGCTCTCGGGCTCATCCAGAAGGAATGCCTGGAGAACGACCCCTTCACCCTGGAGGACATCTTCCGGGGCGCTCGGGAGCGGGCGCGCTATCTCGAGCCGCACATGAACGCAAGTACTCCGTCTCACTGGTCGACAACACCGACACTAGGCGCTGTGCACTTGTCGCACAGCTAAACCCTCGCGCCCGCTTGCTCAGCTCAAATCACAGCATTGCATGATATCGTCATACCCTCGCAAGAGAGTAAGTGCCCAAGGACCACCAGACTGTCCTCTTGCATAGAAAGCCAAACAGGGATAGACACGGACGTGCATATCTTCTTGCGAACCTAGCCACGGTTGTCATACCACTCCAACGCTGTTTCGTTGCTTCTGCCAACGCACCCGCAGGTGGTGCAGGACTTCCAGGACTCCGTGCTGGACTTCCCGGTTTCTGCCGCTCGGCGGGCCACCGGCAAGGGTAACCTCAAGGCGTTTTCGGGCTCATCCAGAAGGAATGCCTGGAGAACGACCCCTTCACCCTGGAGGACATCTTCCGGGGCGCTCGGGAACGGGCGCGCTATCTCGAGCTGCACATGAACGCAAGTACTCCGTCTCACTGGTCGACAACACCGACACTAGGCGCTGTGCACTTGTCGCACAGCTAAACCCTCGCGCCCGCTTGCTCTGCTCAAATCACAGCATTGCATGATATCGTCATACCCTTGCAAGAGAGTAAGTGCCCAAGGACCACCAGACTGTCCTCTTGCATAGAAGGCCAAACAGGGATAGACACGGACGTGCATCTCTTCTTGCGAACCTAGCCACGGTTGTCATACCACTCCAACGCTGTTTTGTTGCTTCTGCCAACGCACCCGCAGGTGGTGCAGGACTTCCAGGACTCCGTGCTGGACTTCCCGGTTTCTGCCGCTCGGCGGGCCACCGGCAAGGGTAACCTCAAGGCGTTCCACGTCTACGGGGGACGCGAACTGGAGAAGCAGTTCACCAGGAAGGTGAGAAACCGGGAAGCGTTTCTAGTACCACCCGCTTTAGGTTCGTTAAGTCCGAAATGTAGCGCAGTTCGCGTCCCCCGTAGACGTAAGGTACGTATTTTAAGCGCCTCACCCACAGACCCTCGAGAGTCAGATTTATTGGGGCACGCTTTTCTGTTTAATTAAAAACCTGCTTGTAAACGCCCACCCTTGTTGCCCGATCGGGGCCAACAGGTCGCAGTGCCGCTGGACCTGCACATGCTCTGCGATGCGGAAAACGAGCAGGTGGAGCCCGCCGGGGACGTGGAGACCAAACAGTGCCTCGCGGAGCGGAAGGTGCAGGCTTTCGCTCACCGCATGAACGGAGGCTATAAGACCAAGAAGGCCCGGGAGTTTCAGAATGCATGAGTCGACCTAATAAATAGTTACGTTTGACGATAATATTTTCGTCCGGGCGCGACTGCACGACGGGAATAGCTTCTCCGTCCTTCGTACGAACGTGGCGCCGTAGCGAGTACTTACATGCATCCTCGTAAGCTCCTCGAGGCTAATATTGTGTAGGACGTGTTGAGAAGGCGTACGCATCGGTGCTTCTATTGTTGCAGGTGTATCAGACGCGCACGGCGGGACCTACTTGCAGCAATTTTGCCAAGAT